TAAATAATAAATTTTATTAAATATAATAAAATATAGAAAAATATTATAAATGAATGAATGATAAATAATTATTTTGACTACTTATATCTACACTTTTAATTTAGATATATACATTTCAAAAACATATCTCAAGGGAATTAATATTAGTTTATGGAGCTAGCGTCTGAAACTTGAATTTTTTTACTTTAATAATAAGATTTATTTACAAAACCAACAAAAAAAATTAGTTAGTATTATATATATAGTCATTTATAATTTCATTAAATTTCAAATAAATTTTTTGGATAAAAGGTGAATTTTATTTATCCAGTAACTATATATACACAAGCAAGCAGCAATTTGTTGTTGCTACAAAATAAAATGTAGAAACTATTTAATCTATATTATCCTTGCACAAGCTTCAATCCCCCAATTAATTGCTATGGAGACAGGTAGAGATGACGATTTAACTTGGCAAAACCTAAAATCCTGTGTTTCACATCAAATTGCACTTGTTCACATATTGCCTCTTCTGTTCTAAAGACTTGCTGATGGATTCTATTGTTCCTTTTCATCCTAACATGGTAGATTGCAGCACTCCATATTAACTTGATAAATGTCCAATACAAGGATTTCCTTTGTATCCACTTTCCCATCCACATTAAAAGCCTTTGCCAAGAATCCATAAATGGAATACCTGCCAAATTGCTCAAAACTTGCCAGACCCTTCTTGCGTGATAGCACTTGAAGAAGAGATGTTCAATAGTCTCTGAGTCATTGTTGCATAGTACACAAGTGTCAGTCAAAGTCGGAGACCATTTCTTTTGCCTGGCTCTTGTTGTTAATCTATCCAGCATAGCTAACCAACAAATGAAGCTATGTTTAGGGATTGATTGAGGGAACCAAACTAATTTGTGCCATGGTACTCTAGCTCGCTTATTAAAATAAATTAAAATAAACTTAATCATTTAATGTTTCTAAAAATATTAAATATAACATAATCACAATATATACCTAAAAAAATGAAGAAGTTCATGAAATTAAATAAATTTAATTATTGATATATGCATAAAAATTTTATGATAAAAGCAAAAAAATCTGATATAATTAATGGATAAAAAAAGGAGTGAGATATGGAGGATTTCTGCGACAATTAAGGAGAAACAATGCTAAGAGATGGAGGAGGCATTCAAGCAGCACATCATGCGCGCGTAGAAGGATGGAATTGCAGAAGAAAGAATGAAAATGGAGGAGATCAGCTCGGTGGGGGCAGGGAGGTGGGGTGTGGAGTATATAAAGAACCTTTAGCATCATGTCTCATGTTGCTAAAAGGTTTGCTCTCCAATCAACAATATGTTCCATGTTCGTAAAAGTTATTGGAGTTTTAGCCACCATCCTCATCACCGACATGGAGCATATTGCTAAACTTCAAATTGCCACCTCCTGCGCACCCATTTCTTGATTAATATATATACTTCAAAAAAAATTATTTTATTAAATTAATTTCTTAGTAGATTTTTATTACT